CTTCCCTTCAACCACTACTGTTTGCTCCCTGTTGGTCAGGAAAGCCTTTAACCAATTCAGCGTAGGGCCTTGGATTCCATAATACTCCAGTTTTGAGATGAGCCTGCCATGGGGGACTTTATCAAAGGCTTTAGTGAAATCAAGTATTGCTAAATCTACCTGCCGTTTACTGTTTAGTGCGCCAGCTATGTCATGGACTGTTAGTATAAGCTGTGTTTCTGTGGATCGTTTGGCTCTGAATCCATGCTGGTAATCTGTTAATATACTGTAACTTTCTAGGTGCTTCATGATTTGGCTATGGATAATATGTTCAAGTAGTTTGCAGGATATGCAGGTCAGTGAAACAGGTCTGTAGTTGCTGGGGACCGCTCTATCTCCTTTTTTAAAGATGGCGCATATATTTGCATCCCTCCAATCTTTAGGGATTTCTGCAGTGTTTAGCGAGTGTTGGAAAATATTGGTTAGAACAGGCGCGATTTCACTAGCTGTCAACTTGAGGAACCACGGTGGTATTTGGTCTGGTCCGGATGCTTTAGAGGGATTGAGACCTTGGAGCATTTTTTCGACTACCATCAGTAGAAACTACTATATGTTCCATTGGAGGAGTACAGGGCTGGCCTAGAGATGGCATATCTGTGGTGTCTTCCTCTGTAGAAAACACTTTTGAACTGTGAACTGAGTACTTCTGCTTTTTTCCCACTGTCACTGATGATGGTATTTCCCACCTTTAGGGGTGCTACCCCGACAAGGTCTTTCCTCAGTCCTTTTATGTACGACCAGAATGTTTTGGGTTTGTCAACTATAGCTTCTCCCAGTATGTCTGCCACGTATTTAGAGTGTGCTTGTCTTATGCTTTTCTGAACTCCCTTCTTAACTCTCTTATATTTGTTCCAGTCTTCCTCTTGGCCTGTTTTCTTAGCTTTGTTATAGAGCCGCTGCTTCTTACGACAGTGCCTCCTTAGGTTTCTGTTGAACCAAGGCAAGTTGTATCTGCTTGATGTTATCTTACTTGGGATGTGCTTGTTCATCGTGTCTTTCATTTTTGTCTTTGAAGTCTGACCACTTCTGTGTAACTGACATATCCTGAGTTCTTTTGTGAAAGTTAGTTGCATAATCCTTTAGGTCTTTCTTAATGGCTGGTTCGTCGGCTTTTCTGCGGATGTACACTTTTCTCTTAGGTTTCCTGTTTTGTTTCAGTGCCAGGTTAACGTCCACTAGAACCATGTCGTGGTCACTTATCCCCGGGACTACTGTGGTCTTCTCAATTATGTTGGGGTTATTAACTAAGACCAGGTCCGAGAGATTACCATTTCTAGTTGGTTCCTGGACTGTTTGAAATAACCCGTGGTTATCCATCAGGTTTAGTAGTTTCTCTGCTTGGCCTGTGTAGGCCTGACTGTTGTCAGCTACAGTAGTATCCCATTTGATGCCAGGGGTATTGAAATCGCCAAGAATGATCACATTGTCAGAGTTTATTTTGCTCCCATTTTACCTATAGACCTGTCAAGTTCATCCAGACTATTGCCCTGGTCTGATGGGGGTCTGTAGTATGTACCTATTTATCAGTGGTTTCCTTCCTGCAAGTTGAGTTTGTGTCCACAGAACCTCGCAGTCTGTGTCAAGGTCTGGCCTATGGGTAACAATTAGATCATCTCTGTTGGCCTGAAATACACCACCTCCTTGGCCAGTTTGTCTGTCTTTCCGGTGTGCTATGTAGTTGCTGGGGAATATTTCACTACTTGCTATGTTTTGGTTGAGCCATGACTCTGTACCTGCTACTATATCTGGCTTGTAAGTGTCAACTACTGTCGCCAGTTCAGCTGTTTTGTTCCGCACACTCTGACAGTTTACTAGCAGAAGTTTACTTTTAGATCTCTTGTGACTATGACCCCTCGTTTGAGAATTACCCTGCTTTGATTTAAGTGGGGTGGATGAAGCCATTGGGATTTCGTCTGGTAAACTTGAGTCAGAACTCAGCGTGTCAAATGAGTTTACTGAATGGAATGTTTCATCAGTGATGTCGAATATGGCCGATGCAAAGTTGGGTATACCACAGTCACAACATACCCACGAGTATGATCGGTGGGTTTCTAGTGCACTGTATACTTGAGAACATAGCCCAATGCAATCACTGTGGTACCATCTATCGCATTCATCACAGCATATTGCATTATGGGTGTTACGTACTGCCTTGTTACAACTCCCACATGGAAACTTTGGTGGTCTAGGCCCTGGGTTGATCTCAATATCCCCGCTTAAGATCAGAATCATGATCAGTGAAAACTTTGTGCCACTATTGTGCAATAGCATTTTCTTGCTACTGACGTGAGTTCCGTTAGCCCCGCTGTGCTTAATCATGAAAGCAAAAGTGGCCCAGTCAGATGTGCAATCTGTTCTGAAGTCGCATGTGACCTGTACTTTCTTTATCTCCTGTTTGTCTTTTGGCTGCGATCCTGGCTCAGCCCTGCTAAGTATTGTGCAAAGGGCTAGGAATATACAAGTGTAGTGGAGTTCCATTTTTATTCCCATGACCGCGGGACCCAGTCACCGCTCCTGTTATTCCGGAATTCCTTAGCGGGACCCAGTTACCGCTCCTGTTATTCCTTAGCGGGACCCTCTGTCACCGCTCCTGTTATTCCTTAGCGGGACCCTCTGTCACCGCTCCTGTTATTCCGGATCAATCGCATTTTCATTCTAGCAATTACAATGTATGTTGTGTGTAGGCAGACTCTAGTTTCTCTAGCTTCTAAAACTGCTCTTAGCTTCTGAGACGGTAAGAGCAATGCCGCAACACAAGCTATGCACTAAAAGGTATAATATAGCAATAGCCTGTAGTCGTCCAAAACTAGTTGCCGAGTAAATTTCAAGAATAAGAAGGACTGCCCGATTCTCTTATTACTATTAGTTTGTCAGAAAGACATTTTCTGCGCAGTTAACCCATATATATGCACATCACATCACAGTAATCCAGTTTTAACAAAATCATGACTGTTAATTGACATTTAACTTACATTAATATAAAATAACAGAATTTAATTAATCCTGATTATATCCGGAGGCATGATGATGATGATTTATTAACAAACTTTGTGAATCCCTAAACCAATCTCACATTATTTAGATTCTGGTCAAACCAGA